TAGGGGATTCCTATGAACATCAGAGCCTAAACGTGATACCGCTTAGTTTTGAGCTGGGAGGTAACATGATATCAGCTAGCATGTTCAAGGAGCAGAATGCAATGTATTACTTTAAAGGCTGTTCGGGATCAGCCAGGAGGGCCTGGCCATCGGCGGGCCCGCGCCTGGCAAGGCGACCGCCACCAGCAACTTCATGACGCAGTTTCAGAAGAAGGTCTTGGACAAGATCCTGCGACCGTCGACTATCACTGCAGACCACGGTGCTGTGGCAGCCGCAGTGGGAGCTGAGGCAGTGGATACTGCGGCTAACGACGGTGATGGTGCAGCAGCGAGAGCAGCCACTGGGGACCACGAAGAGGCGGTGGGTGGCGGAGAGGCTGCTGCCATGGGCATGCATGCCGTGGATGGTGGCACGGGTGGCGGCCGCACAGCAGGCGTCGCAGCAGCAGCAACCGCAGGGGGGGACACCGGCACGGGTCAACACAGGCGGTGGAGCCGAGGAGGCATTGGTGTCTGGAGAGAACGATGCAATTCAGGTGAGGAGTGTTTGTTCGTTTGCAGACTGCTTGCAACCAGGGCTGCCTTGTAACCCTTTTGGAACCTGGGGAGCATGTTTAACAAGGTCGAGGGGTGCTGATGGGTTATGTCAACTTTCAATGTCAGGGCAGCTTGTTGGGTCTTACCCTGATATTTTACCTTGAACGTAAGCACTGGGTGTTGCTGCCCCCCCCACCACAGGACGAGGATACCACCAACTACGATGCGTTCAAGGAGTGGGTCAGCGAGGTGCCAAGAACAGCTAAGGGCGCAGCTGGCAAGCGCAGGCGGGGTGGCGGTGATGATGACGACCTGGGTGCGAGGTCGGGGCGCAAGGTTGGAAATAAACGGCAGAAGGGGAACAAGGGCGCAGGCTGGGGCAGGGGTGCAAGCAAGGGGACCACCAGAGGTGCAGGGAAGGGCGGCGCAGGCAAGGGAGGGCGGAGGGGGCGGACAGAGGAGGGTAGCTCGGAGGGTGGGTCGGATGCTGGTGAGGAAGAGGTCCTAGCCGCTGGCGCTGGGGAGGAGTCCACCTCAGAGGACCCGGGCAAATATAGCGAAGCTAGCAGCAGCAGCAGTGGCAGTGGCAGCAGCGACAGTGGTGGAAGTGAGCAGTAACATGGCAGCAGTGATGAGCACTTGGGGGTGCACACACCAGGTCGGCCCCAGGCAGGATGGGACAGACCAATCCCAATAGGTGCCGGTACATGTCATGCATCGGGGGTTTCATCCGTAGGAGTAGGCACGAACTCTGCAAGTGGTGGTGAGAACTCCTTGGCGAGCACTTGCTGTATGGGGGGTGACATGAACGCTGTTTTCAAGGACGATGGTTGAGATGAATGCATCAGGCTGTCAGGCTGGCTGGTTGGCGTTGTGAGTCCAAAGCGCCTTGGTCCANCAGCACACTGAGACTTAGGCTACTTTGACAAGGGGTGTGCGTCCATTTTGAGGCTTGCGCCAGTATTCACCAATCGTTAATTTAACATGCAGTAAGTGTCACATCGCAGAGTAATATCTGCCTGTGTAACCCGTGATAACAGGGTCTTCACCCGTAATTGTACGTGTAATTGGTTACATGCCCCGTAATTTACCTGCAGCACCGCGTAATATTCACCCGTAATCACTGGGTCTTCACCCGTAATTTTGCGTGTAATTGGTTACATGTGCCCGTAATTCACCTCCAGCACCGCGTAATATTCAGCCGTAATCACTGGGTCTTCACCCGTAATTTCGCGTGTAATTGGTTACATGTGCCCGTAATTCACCTCCAGCACCGCGTAATATTCAGCCGTAATCACTGGGTCTTCACCCGTAATTTCGCGTGTAATTGGTTACATGTGCCCGTAATTCACCTCCAGCACCGCGTAAAATCCACCCGTAATCACTGGGTCTTCACCCGTAATTTTGCGTGTAATTGGTTACATGCGCCCGTAATTCACCTCCAGCACCGCGTAAAATCCACCCGTAATCACTGGGTCTTCACCCGTAATTCTGCGTGTAATTGGTTACATGCGCCCGTAATTCACCTCCAGCACCGCGTAAAATCCACCCGTAATCACTGGGTCTTCACCCGTAAATGTTCACCTGTATCCTTGTGCTCAAATTACGAGACCCGTAACGTGTTACGGACCCGTAATATCTGTCAAATTACGGGTGGATTGACCCAAAATTACGGGTAAAATGACCCCCGTTTTCCCAGAGTGGTCTAGTCTGCGGCAAAGGACCCATATATGCAACCACGACACCACTGGTGCTCCCTCAGACAAACCTATTACGGGCACCAGAGGGGCATACCCATATACCTAGGTATATAGAACACGTGATTCTGTGCACATTGTATGTCTGCATGTGTGTAACTCTTGATATAGTTGTGTGCAGTGGTGTTGACTCGAGCAGTTTCCGTGTCTTACAGAGCACCAGTGGTATAGTGGTAGCATAGGTCCTTGCCACGGACCAGACCCGAGTTCGATTCTCGGCTGGTGCAGCAGTGACTCGCATGTTTTGAAGCATTCTACGGTGAACCACAGGCATCTCACTGCCTTCATTAGTGCATGCACGCCCCCATGCATGTGCGCGATCCTCCATACCTACTTCGAATTTGTTGTCCCACATGCCCGAAGCGCGTGTGTGCTGGTTGCAGGTCCAAGTGTATGTCCTGGGTATTAGGTGCATTGTTGCATGCCAATAACACCCAGGCAGGAAGGAATGAATGCTATGGTGTAGTGAACTTTAAAGTGCTCTGTCCTGTGCAAATAGATGCAAAGGCACACGCACACAGCAGGGAGACAAGCAAACAAGTGAGGGACTGCAAATAAAGTGCAATACAGCATATGTGTATGCATGTATATGTGTACATATGTCATCCATCGTCATGCGTGTACACGGCTGGCCACAAACAGGATTACATATGCCA